AAATGCAATTTCACCCATATGTAGACAAAAACTACACTTAAAATCAGGAATTGAAAAATCCCTAAAACACGATTTTTGATCTTATTCCTAGTCGTCGAAAAATACAAAGAACGATGTTTGCCTAAAAACATAACATGACTTGTGCTCGGAAACCCGAAAATAATCGTATTTCTGAGTGAAATTTAAAAACAATCAGTGATGTAACAATAAAAAGCCAACATTAAAAGGATGCTAAGACTATAATTCTATTCAATTTGAAGAAATTTACCACTAAATACTATTTGTTTATTTTCAAATGTTTTACTGGTAGTCCAAAACAGGCCAAAAATAGCGTCTTGTAACCCGATACACTTTGCGCCTAGCAATGGGAAAGAATACTGTAGTGACAGACCGCCGTGGTAGAAACATATTCAAACTAGTGACCGTTATTATGCTAATCTGTCCATACCTTTTGTTTCTAGGGCTGCGACAGTCTAGGATGTTTATTAGTTTATGTATTTTTGGGGGTCAATTCACTATTCAAGCTGCTGGATAAGCCACGGTGGGGAGTACTTATTCAGTGCGTCGCCCTGGGCACCGAATCCTTCTATTTAAAGTTACATCGCACCAAAACACAAGTCAGGAAAAAAGACGAAGCTACCATCTATCGTCGTATTGCCATTTCTAGTCGCCCGAAAAAGCTAAATTTGAAACAAAAGTTTAATGACTCTCCTTTAATGACTTTAAAGCCATACCATGTAGGATTAGGAAGAATTTTTGCTTAGATAATGACTTTTTAACGTGTCACAATGGTCTTCCCGAGCTTATTTAGTGAGTTAGTTCATAATACCCCCGTCACATTGTCGACGAGCTTCGGCCGTATTTGTCAATCGCCGAAAGATCGGCCGATTTTGAGATCGACCGACGATCACGCGTATTTTTGCCTTGAAAATCGTCGCCGTCACATTGTGCGAGGCTCGGGCGACCGCTTGGCAATACAGCTATGAAAATGAAGTCCCTGTGATATGGCACGCAGAAGAATCAAGGCCGTGTATCCACCAAAAATGAATAGTTTAACCAATTTTTATGTTTGACCTGTCGTTATATTTTTTTAAGCAAAGTAATGGAGCGGACTGGCAGAATAAAATAGAAATACAAACAGGGATTCTGTGAAGGATCCAACTCAAATACTACCACAAGAGCCACAAATTTACACTACCGTCTGGTTAACACAACGACCACCTTTTTAACCAGACAGGAGTCGGCCGAAGCTCGCTCGACACACGGGCGTACGTCGCCCGAGTTACGGTCGACGATCTATCGATGCTCACACGATCTATAGACCATTCAACCAAAACTTACAACAAGACATAATTATTATTATTATTATATCAAAATCTTTTTATACACGGATACCTGAACAAAGCTAATAAGATATATTGTTCTAAAACTTTGCCTGTATACTTCTGTCTAAAATAGTATGAATCCTCCGGTAAACAAGCCATTCAAGGTCAACAAAGTAGACAGAGGTAAAAAGACCCATGCAATATAAACTTCAACTAGTAAGTAATATTCACATGACGTTCTTTTGGGCACCCTAAGAAAAAAGGCAACTTCATTCCAGGATGAATAAGTGTAAACGTCAATTTATTATACAATCTTCTGAAATAGGACACCTATTTCAGACACCTCTTAAAGGGACAAGAGTTAAGAATTTCATGTGCGTTCAATCAGTAGAGGTCACAATCTAGGCATTTGGCCTCATAGAGTTAAAACCTCGTCATCTTTTTAAAGTGTTTTTTTTTTATTAACAAATGTTGATTTAACAAAAGGACAAAAAGGACGATTTTGTCTTTTTTTATCCTTTCTCGTAAACATAACTTTAACAATCAATGGGACGTTGCTCCTGTAAAACTTTACACAGTATACTGTCAATGCAATCTCAAATATTTGTCACAGGTGCTGAATAAATAATAACTTCACAGGAGCTCGGCCGAGGCTCGTAGAACTTTCGTCCGACACTGGCACGAAGCTCGCTCGAAGCACGCACGATTTTAAAAACTTTGCGCAAGTCGGTCTAGGTACGAAAGAGGGTCGTCCGAACATTTCGCGAAGCTCGCGCGAGGGTCGACCGTATTCAGCGACCGTCGCCCGATTTTCAAAGACGAAATACGGCCGAGACTCGTGGGATATATGTACATGTACGTCCGAATATCGGTCGACTCTCGGCCGCACAGGAGCGAGCTAATTTCGAGGTACGCGCGAGCTGGAAACGAGCTCTGCGACCTCAAAAATCGCCGGCGACTAGTCGCTGATGTTAAGAACATGTTTCGCGTGTCAGCGAGCTTCGGCCGACTCCAAAAAATCGCCGGCGATCCCGAAAATTCGCGCGATGCTCGACGGAACATCGGGCGTTCTACGGCCGTAAATGTCGTTTAGAGCTCGCCGACTAGTCGGCCGATCGATTTACGCGCAATGTGACGGGGGTATAACGACAGCCACTAGAGTATTTTGCGGAAAGATAAGACGTTTAGGCTACAAGCTCACTATTTCCGCACTGCACTTCTTAGGTCACACCGATTTAAGTTTATGGATGACATCCACGCGCGCATTGATTTTCGTCTGTTCTCAAAAAAAGTAAGTTAAGTAGCATTTTTATTTTTTTCCGGAATTGTTGCGCACTAGTTTGGGGGTTTTCAGAGGTGTGGCCTTATCATTATTTGATCTTCATCTATTTAACCAGGACAAACGTAAAGCCAGAAAGCGTTTTTCATAGTTTTCCTGGGGGATATACTCACAATAATGAGGGACTGAAGAACCCAGAATTGGGACACGATGCTGAAATCCACATGTTTGTTAATAGCCCATTTAAATGTATTTCGCAGCACGCAACACGATGTTATGTTGGGTGGCCTTCACTCAAGGACGTGGACAGTTTACTTGTAATGGGCCATTGTCGACTTTTCCCAATTTCAATAGTCGGCTAGGAGATGTACATGGGAAATTTTGATTTTATAGAAGGTTTATAGTTAAGAAATCACTTTGCTAAAAGTTTGCTATGCTCTGTTTGTCCGCTAATGTTTATCAGATGTAGTCGTCACAAACAGTTGCAACTGCTCTGTAATTACTGTTCATCAATCATTTTAAATCAGGCGTGAGATCAAAGACGTAACTTCGTGCGACGAAGGTTCTTACTTCATAGATTGAATTCTGCGTAAATTGATTAAAACGTTTCCAAATGGTAGTTTGTGGTTATTGCCACATAAAAGTAGGTGCTAACTCGACTTTTCTGTCTGTTTCTCTATGTTTTCAGATTTCCCTGCCTGGCACCATAAACGGTTCTTTTGTTGTTGACCACCCGTGCATGACGCCCAGGCGGACTACTCTGTACTTCACAGGGATGTGTGGATTGCTTTCTTCACAGTCGACTGACCCGTTTACAAAACAAACAAAATGGCCGCCTTCATGGTTTACACATATCGTATCAGGTCGTTACCTGATGCTTTGTTAGTCTATGATTTAGTAGATTTTCTTATTTCATTTTTTTCTATATATCTCTAAATCTAAGAGATTTGGGCAGGTGGATCTATCCTTAAAGCCTACTAATTTTCCGATTTTCGCTGAAAAGAGGTTGTCTATTTTCGGCAATTCCCAATAGTCCCAATGTAGTACTTTTTGTCAATCGCTTCTTTTTTGTAATGGTGCCCCGATTTTAACTGTTTGTCAAGACTAGATGAGAAAACTGTGAGGGGTTGATAGTCGATACTGAGTTAAGCTGTTTTTCTTTGCCATGGTTTTTGACCTGGTGCCGTGTTTATATTATCTTTCATTATAATCCTTACTCTACCAGGTATTACTTTAAAGTCTACAATACATACATACATACGACATATGACTCTCCAGTTCTCTCTAATATTACATTTCCTAAGTATTCGAGTTCTATGCCAGTGTCTCTAGTTAAGATATCATTAAAAGTCAGACTTCTACAGTGTACTCGACCTCTTGGCTTCCACAGAAGGACAGAAGAAACGTTTTCCTGCTCAGCTCGATAACAATTTCCTGCAAATGTTACCCTGCTGTGGGTGAGGTTTTGAGGCAGCCTCGGAAGACCTCCATATATTGTTTGAATAGTAGCATGTTGTGTCTATGATATATTTTGTGCCCTTCGCAGTAACTTAATGCAAGTCCCATCTAATCTGTTTTGAAGTTGACATGTAAGTGTCCATGTCTCCTCACCATGGCTCTACAGGGGTACGAAAGACTTGGACCTTTGATTTGTTAGGAATGTTAGATTCTCAAATTTTAACGACTTTATTACTTGCTCCCCAAGCCAGGACCTTTCTGGTTTCAAAATCTTTTTTTTTGAGTCTTGAAGGTAAGAGTCTAAATATTTGAAGTTTTCAACTCTTTGAATAAGTGCCCCAGACAAAAATCTGAGCTCTTGTGGCACCATGATATTTGTGATGAATTCTGTGTTTGATTCCTCACATTGAAGTCCAGAGTATGCAGAGTCTCTGTATATTTAATCAATTCTGCAACTATGGCAAGATCATCAGGAAAACCTAAATCAATTAAGAATTGGGCAGGATATCTTCGGCTTCGTCTTGGGTTGATTTCAATTCCTTTGTTTTGATGTCTATCAAGGGAAAGTCTTAACACATAATCAAGCACAATAATAAATAGATAAGGAGCTAAAGTATCACCCTAGAAATCTCCCGTAGTTATCTTAAATGTACATGTCTCACCGTCAGGGGTTAACACAGATTTTTTTTTCGTTTATTAGGCTACACTGATTTAATTTTTTGGATGACATCCGCACGCGCATTGATACTCGCCTGTTCTCCGAAAAAAAATCATGTCTTTTGAGGCTTCACGGAACTCCGGAACTTCGGCTGGAACTTGGTACAGACTGCCGACTCATGAATGCCGCAAAAGAGCGGCTTATCGTAAAACTTCCTTTTTACTACCGCAAAACGTCAATTATGTCGTAAATGAACCTTTTGCAGATGCGTACTAGCTACAATAACAAAGACCGCGAAGTTTGCAAGATGGCGGCAGTGTCCTCTTGAAAAAACGGCAAACTGGAGGCGTTGTTGTCGACTGGTATGCCATCGACATTGGCGAGGGGGATGCAACGTTTGCCCAGCTTTACGAGCGACTCGTGGCAGCCAGCGAGTATCGCCCGGACAGACGTCCTTTCGATGAGAGAAATGGGAGCTGAGTTGAGGTGGCCTTTAGAGTGGGTCAGGCCACTTCTCAGCTCAGTTCGGCTGTTTTGTCCGTATTGTTGTTGACAAAACTGCAACAACTAAAGCCGAAGATTGTCAGCAGAAGTCAGCTTTTGAGGTAAGAATACTTCATTTATTTTTTTTGTTTGTTTTGTTTTTCTGATTTCGATCCAGTATCCGTTGCAAAATTTATGGGGAGGGGCGCGTACACGTGTTATGATACAGACAAAATAAAGTTGTCAATGATTTACAGTAGTTTTATGTAGATTATGCATTTCTTAATGTCAAGTTTTTTGTTAATTTTCTGTTGGGTGTTTTTTTTAATAGTGAGATCTTGCAAAAATTATTTCACAAAATTTCCTATTTGAAAAATGATTTTTATTTCTCTGTTTCACATCCGCTTTGTGCAGGGCTCTTTCATGTAGTGCACCAGGTGTATTACTACTCTGCGCGAGTCAAGTCTAGGGCACTGACCATTCTACCACTGGTATGCTGGCAGTGTGGGGAAACAGACACGCTTCCTATCCCTCCAGAGAAACTGCAGAGTTTCAGAGCATTCATACAGTGTGCCAGGTAGGTTAGATATTATTGTGTACCTCATGTTTTACTTGTACATTCATTCTCACCTGCATTAGTAATGTTGTAATTTTTACAATACACTTACAATTTTATTTGGAAACATACATTCCAAGAGTAAATCGATTTTGCATACCATGTCCTTTTTCTGTAGGTGTGCAAAGCCACTCGTGTTGAAGAGCGTACAAGAGTAAAGAGAAAGCTGGAGAGGAAGAGGTCTAGAGAGGAAGAAGATGGACCACTAACTTTCAGGTGGGTACTGTTTCTGCTCTACCTTTTACATTTT